ATGGAATAGATGTACTTACTATTATCGGTATTATGGCGGCGAAACAGACAGGTTCTGGCACTAGTAGGTAAATAGGTAGTAGTTGGCTGCTTTCACTGTTGAACTGATGACTGCATCAATGCGGGATGCAGTTTTATAGGCGCAGATAGCGTGGGACCGCAGGCAGTAAACATGCAGTCGCGTCATGTTAATTGATATGCGCATATGAAAACATTCTGGCAATCTCGAGATAATGGTCAAACAAAATAAAAAACGCCGGTCATGGAATGTTGTTTTGAATATAAATGCGCATCTTATATGCAGCGAATAGCAATCTTGAGATATCATCATAAAAAAGGAAAACTCGTGTGCAAGGTTATCTGAGACTGGTTGCGTAAATATTCCTCGAAGAGCGGGTCTATAGATACACAGCGGTCATGCGGCGTCTTAATTGGATTATTATGCAAATTGATAATGTATTCCCAAGGCATAAAAACCCACAAGAAATCTTGCTAAATAACGAGCCAACGAAATAAACATATTTATATCCACATGAATCGACATGACCAGACAAGATTGAGCTTAATTTTACATATTCTTTATTTCCTACAGAATAACTGTACAATTTTGAGTAATATTATTACAACAAAAAATGCTGAATTGATATATATGAACAAGTTCAACATAGCAAAGAATGTTTCATGATCCACTGTCCGTGTTGGTATTGATGATCTGAGAAACTGCCATTGATTCAAGTCGCCAAAGTTCCTATCGTTGAAAATCAATCTGATTTTATATTTCGTCTCGTTCTCGGGTACTCTTATTGAAAAAACTTCCATTAGACCATCATTGATGAAATCTCTTCGCATAGCAATCCACTGGCATGACTCATTATCGAAACAAATTCCTGCTTCGCTGACTTTTTTCGGCACATTCATGTACAAAATGTCTCCCATCATTGAAAACAACAATACGAATGATGCTTTCAAAACAACCATATTTTTTCCGATGTGCTACTTGATAGTGGTATAGTTCTGGTACTGATAACGTCTTCCAATAAAGTTATTTTCGAAAAATTCCGAATCATCAGCTGTTTATCTTCGAAACGTTTTATTGCTTCGTCCAGTTCTCTTATTTTCCTCTGGAATTCCTCCAACTGACGTTTGAACTCTGTCGCAGACATTTGAAAACTGTCACAAAACATTCGACTATTCCATTTTTGCATCTCGATGCGCATGCGCATACGCAGTAGCTATAATGCTTGCATTTTCTGCATGCCATTCCGTCAACCACATCATCTTGAGCAGATATGGAGAAACACTTTTTTCTACAGCAATATATTTTCAACGTTTTAGGACATTCATATTCTACTGAAACTCCCATCATTGATGAAGGTTCGTTGGAAAATAACACGTCAACTACTGACATTCAAAGATTTATACCTTTCTGTTTTTTTGTTGTCGTCTATTCATAACAAAGGACGTATCATCTTTATTGAATCAGTGTACCAATTGACGTGAAACGAGAAGCATCTGAATTCTTTTGAACCAGCTTGAATTGAAAAAAAGAATGCAGCCTGAAGTAGCAGTGCTCTTAGATTTTTTAAAATCTCCAACCACGGCTCTGAAAAATCTCACCGAACAAGAATTGCAGTACATTCCAGTAGAATTTCTCATCGATTTTGCAGATCCTTGTGGACTATTAAGGGTGTGGCATAAACTTCCTGAAGAATATCGCAGCAACTTTAAACTAAAGATCAAGCTGCCATGCTTTGTTCATCATAATCGTCCAGATCGGCGAACACACTACGAAAGTCAACCATCTTCTCAAGAAACATGTCAACTTTGTAGAAAAGCATTACTCTGAGATATAAATAATTTCGATAATATTCTCGTGTTTTAGTTTCTATATCCTTTTACTCCATACATTATATGTCAAAAGTCATACGTCATATGTCGAACGTCATACGCCATCGCCAAAACGGCAATTATGTATTACGTAGCACCCCGAATTATTCTGACGTCCGACAACGTAGCACACCGAGTATTTCCAACGTCTGGCAACCCTGTCCCATCGCTCGCTAGCACTCGCTAGCAGTCTGTGCCTGTGCCACTGTGCCAATCTCTGTATCATTCTCACAACTCGTAAACTTTCCCGTCTAGTGGTGTGGCGCGATGGTAGCGTTTCGGGCTCACAGCCCGTCGGTCGAGGTTCGAATCCTCGCGCAGAGCACACCCGACCAGCTTTTTTTTAATTCCAAATATTCATCCATCGAAATCACCATCCATTACTCGAAATCGCCACCATCATCCACTATTTGAATTTGTCACCATCCAATATTTGAATTTGCCGCCGCCCAGTACAGAGCGCAGCCACAGCGACACTAGCGCCACTAGCGACACCAGTGAGTGTTTTTTGAACCCTTGAATTAAAAGCCTTGTTGACCTAACTACTAACCTGATAAATTTTATTGATAATAAAAAAAATAAAAAATAAATAAAAAAAAAATTCTAAAAAAAAAATTATGTGTTGGAATCACAAAAAAATACATGAGGCATTATACATGGAATTATACTGAAATAAATTATTTAAAATACTCAGGTTATTGAATTTCATCTTCACTATATGCTGAGAATTTTTATTTTTGTAAATTCATTATGAATTTTCATGACATGTAAGGTAGTTTTCTAATCGATTTGACTGGAAAACGGTGCTTCCTATCGAAGTTAAACGAATGAAACTTTTTTATGCAAAAGGCATTTAATTCCACAGGAATGCATAAAGATACATAATATCGAAAAATATCGATATTTCACTTTATGTTTAGGAAATTTTCATGCTACTTTTTGATTGAAGCGGCAACACTGCCTTGCTGAGAATATTCCAAGAAAAAAGCGTATTCTAAATTATAAGCATGCATATTTTCATGGATTTCTCCTGACTGATTCGTGCCATATAGAGATGGTGTACGCTCGTCGTGACATACCCGGTATGTTTGAATTGATATTGATATCGATATCAGAACAGAACAGTACCCACAACAGAACCTTATCGTCTAACTTCCTGGAGATTTCACATTATTCAACATCGAAATATAATGTTTATAGTATATTATGTAATATGTGTTGTAAGAAGCTTATTACGCACGAATGGAAAAGTTACGTACGTAGCCGCGGAACGCATTACGTACTATACTTCACCTACTGCCATATAGTACATCAAAAAAGTTTGGACAAACAGTCTGAATACTAATTCTTGACAGTTATATCATCCGCTGCTGACAGCGATTACGCGATCATAACTGTAGGAATTAACGAGAACTGTCGTGCGTAAAGAGCTACTTACTGAGGCTGTATCCCGTGTGTTCTTGCCTACTTTTTATAGTGGCCGTAGGTAAACAGTACTTACTAAGTTTGAATGCTTTTTAGAAATAAAAACAATCAATAACTGCGTTTCAAATGGACCTAACCTAGTTTGAAACAAACAAAACAAACTGCTTTGTTCTTGTTCGCCCTGTGATAAATTTGTCGAAACTATAGGGTGTTTCAAAATTCAGTATCAAGATTTCAGGGGCGTATTTTTCAGGTCAAAATAAGACGTTTTTGTCCATAAACATGTGTCCGCAAACGCTTCGTTACCGATCTACAGAGCGTTAAAGTTTCAAGATTTTTTTATTTTTTTCTTCATAGCTCTTTCAATTTTTGAGATATTAAGATCAAATTTGGAATGTAGGTTACGTTCTAGGGCTTACATCATCCAGCATGCCGAGTGATTGTGAGAATCTACAGGGAGATAATTTTTTCAGGGGTCAAGCCCTTTTTTACCCCATAAACTTTTTTGTGGTGCGCCGCTGGTGAATTCTGAGATACGAAATGAATTCTTTGTTTTGTTTATGAATTTTTTTGTCTTCTGTAATTTTCACGCATCTGCGATCGTTATCGAGAAAAAAGTAAAATCAATTTTTGTGATTCGCTACATTTAATTAAAATTTTCAACGGAACAATGACAAAGCGAATTAGTGGGCTTTGACTGCTATTTTCATTTTGACGTTTAGGTTTGTTTTGAAGCATTTGACATTATTTGAAAGTTGGTGGATGTCTCATCGTATTTGTTCAACTTTAACGCTCTGTAGATCGGTAACGAAGCGTTTGCGGAAACATGTTTATGGACAAAAACGTCTTATTTTGACCTGCAAAATACGCCCCTGAAATCTTGATACTGAATTTTGAAACACCCTGTATAATTATATTATCAATTTCATTATCGTATCTGATATCACGATGACTTTATTGTCTCATTATTTCACAAAATCTCATTTTCCATGTAATGTCGAATTTCAAGCAATGACAGCTCTTTCTGATAGATGAGCTTTTGTTCGAGGGAGTTATTCTTTGATTATTATTGTTTATATGGTCGAAATGAATTGTCTTACAATACGAGTTACTTGGGATGAATAATTGATGAAAATAATACTCTCTAATTATTATCATGGTCGAGTGATTATTTCATGAAGAGCATGAGAAAATATAGATAGAAGTTTCAAATTTTGATTCAAGTTTAATTTTTATAACTCTATACAGATACTACTTATTCGAAAATCTCTCTTCAGAAGGCCACCTGGAGTATTTTTGTCATATAGCTTTCTTTCTATAATAGTGCTTCTGAACTCTCCTATCTTTTTTGTAGAAAATGTTGTTGGCTTAGCATTTTTGCATTACACCCATCCCTGGCACAAATGAAATCCACATCAATCACTACGCATCCCATCCCCAATTTTTCAGGATTTCGGCGATCAGGAGAATTCATATATATTGACGTAAACTGTATCAGATAGACTAATTACTCTTTTTGGTATTTCCTGGTATTGATTCGCCTACATAATTACCGACATTACGATTTTAGAGTGACTGATATAATATGTCAATTTGTGAGATTCACCATAGCACTCTTTTGCTATCGATCAGAATAGCCGCTCATTTTATTAAGAGTGATGAATCGTAATTGCCACAAGGCATACTTACTGTTATTAAGAAAATAAATACCCATCGTTAGGATGAAAAATCCCAGCTGCCCTGAAAAACAAAATCTGGATATCAATGGAGTTAAGTGGAACTTGATGAAATAAACAGACAAAAAACGATATCTTATCAATTTCTCAGATGAAAATTAGGACATATTACCTGTATGTCCTGACATTTCGCTTGATTGATAAAATTGAAACAAATTGAATCCCCTCACTATATTGTCCAAATACCAGCTGCAGATTTCTACCGTCATTTGATAACGAAATAACATATGCAGGGTGTTTCAAAAAAACCTAACCCCCTTGCTAGGGTAGGTAGAACATTGCAAAATAAGTTGGGTTTGCTATTGAAAAGAATAATTTTCTCACCACCTTGTGTCATGAAAACGGATGGCATTACGACATTTTTTTACTGAGCAAACCCAACTTATTCTGCAATGTTCTTCCTACCCTAGCAAGGGGGTTACGTTTTTTTGAAACACCCATGTATAGAGGGCTTTAATTTCAAAAACGTACCACGTAATCTGCAGTGATCACAATTCCAGAAAAAAATAGGTCGATAACGAGTTGAAACTAAATGGAGATGAAAGGGGATATGTCCCTTTCGCGAATATCCGAACGTGCAATGATTCAAACTGATTCGTCATGGCAGAGGGTGAATATTTCCAAGAATATCTCGCATCGATCGAAAGGTAATGTCCGATAAACCAAGATATCGAACTGAAGGTCCATTGGGGGTGGAAAAGGTAGGGTTTTGAGAGCTACAATTCAATTGGTATCGGATGGCATACTTCATATCTTGATATGAAATCGCGAACTTTTGTGCGAATAATCGCAAAAAAAGTGCATTTGCGCCTGTTCAAGCTCAACGATATGTTGCTAAAAAAGTTTTGAAATTCTGAGTAGGTTCGGAGCTATGCCTCAAAAACCGAAATTTTCCGATATCGTATTTATTTTTTTCTGATGATATTTAAGAATAAATGTACGTGAAAATGACACTCTCACAAGCTCTATAAAATAGCGATGAGATATTCCGAACGACGTTTCGTTGCAGAAAAAACCATCATCAACATCAATTTTTCATATAACCTGTGAAAAATGACAGTAAAGAAGTATCTTGTGTTTTCCCATATCTCTTCGAATAATGTCAGAAAAAAATTGAATCGAAATTGTCCAATTTCGGTTTTCAAGGAATTTCTCCGGAACTACTCAGAATTTTGAAACTTTATCAATGGCATATTGATAGCCTCAAAAATGCGCAACTTTTCTTTGATCTCACTAGCTTCGTATCTAATATGGTTTTATGTGCGAAAAATTGATTGATATTTTCATTCTAGCCTGGATCGGAATCGTTGTCTTAACAACTATTCGAATATACCTGTATATTGAGATAATATTCATATTTTTTTTTTATAGAAACAAGCAGAGAAAATCCCAAAGAATCTGGGATAACAAATGTACCATCTCCCCGATTTACCTACAGTATACATATAGTAACATAGAAAATGTTCTGTATCACCTATGGTATTACAATATATCTGGTTGTACCTATTCTAACAACAAGTTTTTTTTCGTGTATGTATGCCTAGGCCACGTCAAACCCTATGTAATATTTTCACAGTTTTTGATAAAACGAAAATATGATCTTATCATAATCTGACATTGAATAACCTTGGTATTGTCTCAGTTTAAGCACAACTCAGAAAAGTCGAATTCGGAAGTGGACTTTGGTTTGGCGGCCGTGAAGTTGTCCTTCGCTCACTGTCTAGAGAACACGAATTACTCTCTGTGATTGCACTAAAAATGTTCTTTCTGGACTTGATATTCGTATTGTTATTTTTTTATTCTACATGAAAACTTCATCAATCGTCTTTCATTTGCATAATTTGGAAAAATATCTAAATAAAGGCATATTATATCTAATCATGACTGAAATTCCATAGTTTGTGTCAATGCGGGTGTCAACAAATATATCAGACAATCCATAGCTTCTAGAATACTGGGTGTATCGAGATGAAATTCAATATGGTTCATGGTATGTGAAGAGGAAGGTTTTCACAGATTTTTCAGTTCCTATAGTCACTTCCAGTTCTACTGGAAATAGCATCATTTCTGAATTTTTGAATGGAAAACTCCATTTATCATAACATTTTCGAACTTCTGGGACATGATTCTGGATCTCAATATGATATTCTCATAAATTTTGAAGCTATCTTCAGTTATTCAAGGTCACTTCCAATATTGCATCTGGGTGTCCATGATCGGACGTGAATAAAGTCATAAGTAATATCACGATGTTCTGAATATTCGAGAGACTAATCATGAGAAGATATTCACAACAGTGGAATTTAAAAAGCATTTATTATAAATGCATGCCATAATTATTTTATATCAAACGTACAGAATTTGCTTCGCTATCCATGGCATCGTTGTCAACATCGAAGCTGATATGTATAAGGACCTCATCAGGTGGTGTCAGAGAATCAGTATCGCAAAGTTTCAGTGACTAGTATGATAGATAGGAAAAAGGCAGGTAGACAGAATCACATTTTCGTGTACACTGAATATTGTTCTTCCTTTGAAGACCATTTTTTGATAAGCACTTTCCGAAAACAGGATTCTTTTACGAATCTTACGATACTGATTCATTTGCGATTGAATTGAAAATAAAAACATCCATTTGATATTATCACGAAGAATACTAGATATCTGTTTATTCACATGTTGTCAAGTGTCCCATGGATAGCCATTATGATGCATGATATAGTAATGAAATGTTTTTGACCAGCTTCATTACTGGACTGGTTTTGATTAATAGCTAAGTAACGTGAGACTGATTCTACTTGAATTTCACTTGTTCGAAAGCTCGAAACCTGAAAACCTGAGAGAGCTGAGTAATGCATTGGATTCCTGACTTCCCAAAGCTTTTCCTGATAGTTAACTCTGATAAACATCATAACACCCCTAGAGACTTCAATATTTTTCAACCCTTCGCTCATGATATGAAATTTGATTGAATTATTTATCAGTTGAAATGATGGATGTTTACCTGTTCATATCTTTCAGTGGATATTTTCCAGTCAAATTCATTCAGTAGCATTAGCAAGGGTAGTAGATTCTATTCCTGTGCCCATTTAGGGTTGAATATAATTTTTTCCGCATTTTTGTGAGTTTAGGAACATGTGCTTGTGGATGATAGTTCCTGCAGCCCTAGTTGAGGATTCCGACCAATAAGAACCTAGGATCGAGCTGTCCTAGTGTCGAGGTCAAGGGGGGAATATAAATACTGAAGACAGCTAACGGATCGCTCTCTACTCTCCTCTACATGTCTACACTACCTGCTCGACTTGCTCTTCAAGCTCTTGGTTCTCTTGCTTTCTTTGTTGTCATTGTTTTCAGTTCCGAATAGTTCCAACAATTTATTCATTACCTTTCAATATTTTCATTTGTCAAAATTGCAGATTATTATCATTGACTGACGACTGACACTGACAAACCAGTGTTCAATTCTTCTTCTCCTCCTTTTCCTCGAGAAATCCTGTCCTGTGCATCTGGGTCTCTGTGCTTTGTGTCCCGTCAGGCGGTGATCTATGTTTCATGAAATTTTGACATGAATGGAAAAATAAAATTAACCTCACTAAAATCCTGAGATAGAAAATTAGAAAATCGAAGGAAAAGGAAAGATGAATAGGAATTGAATCTGTTTGATTCGTTTGGAACTGTGTTTCCGATTCTCCAGGTAGACTTAATGAAATAGTTGAATAAATAATTTTCCAGACCTAACCTGAAAATACCAGGGACCCGAAAGATATTCACGTTGATTCCTGTAATTATCCATAATAAAAATAGCAACCAGTATTCCAGGCTAAACCCAGGGTTTGTAATTGAAGCCTACATTCCCTTGGCTCCTTATTGATTTCAGGTCGATTCAATAACATTGACCCCTGGTTTATACTGTAGGTACCGAGGTAGGTATACCTCCTGTACCTTTCTCCACTGTTGCTTCTTTGGGCCCATGTACAAAAACATTTTGTGCAGAGCAGGTAGAGTAAACTACCTCAAAAACAATCTGGCGCTCGAGAACCCCCCCGTCAAAAACCAGAGTAGTCTCCGCCTTGAACAGAGCGCCAAAGTAAGGGCCTCAGAAACAAAGGCCGTTACAATATTCTGCAGTTTTTTTGTGGGTATTTGATGAGTGTTCTGTTTCCAAAGAAGACTTGGAAAAAATAACTCCGAACTATTATGCATCATGTCCATATCCATGGCACACTTAAGAAATGTCGATTAATAAATATCCAGTTATTTCTTTAGTGATTCAAATTTATGTTCTTATTGCCAATACTGAAATAAAATAAAAAAAAAACCTTTTTCAGCAAGTGCTTGTCACAAATGGTTTGCCATATAATAGTTGGACACGAGAATGTGAGTTTGTCAACGTGTCTTATTTCTATATATTATACTAGTCACTGAAACCTTGCGATTATAATTTTCTGATATCATATTACATCGCTAGAGAAGTTAACGTCCGTTCTTGGCCACCTAGATGCAATATTGAAGGTGACTTCAAAAAAATGAAGTTGACAGAGAGAATGCTGAAAATGTAATATCCTGATTCTGAAATATTCAAAATTCAAAACTGGAACCTTTTCCGGTGAAACCAGCAGTGACCGGGAAGTGGAAAATATGCGAAAACTGTCCTCTTCACATACCATATATCCATATCGAATTATATTTTGATACATCGAATATTCTAGACGTTATGGTTTGTCTGATAGATGTGTTAACACCTGGTATATTATGTTTTCATAGACGAGTGAATAATTGCACTGAACTTTTTTCCTGAATATGAAGGAAGGCGATAAAAAGAATACTATTCGAAAAAAATGTGGACAATTGTCATTCAATCATACTTACACGAGTCCGTATCCACTTCTACAAGAGCAGTGTACATGATGAAAAACGTAACCGTAACGGCCAAAGAACCAACAAACCTAGCTCTCAGTGTCAGCTTGTAGGCAAAGAGGGAGGATAAAATGTTGGTGATGATGCTGGAGACTGAGCTGATAACAGAGGAAGTCGATTGGAAATTCTTCTGTAGAGTATTCTTGACTGTCGTGTCGAATGGCTTATCAATGTCACGAAATTTAAACATCCAGTACTGAAATGTAGAATATCAGTATGAATTCAGGGACTCACTCATCAGACGTTAGTAGATGATTTAATTTTTCATCGACCTCGTATTAACGAGTATGATTTATTTTTATATGAAATTGATCGTTGTTGACCCCTATTATTGATCATTTTTCCTATTGATGCATGATTGTAGTATAGGAAACCAAACATACACCGCTTCCAATTTCTCTTTGCACAATAACATTGTTTTTCTGCAACCGACACAAAAGTCGTCCATTTTGACACCAGAATTAGCTCTTAAATTGTCGTTTCTATTACTGACACAAAAATAGGTATGTTGCTAGGCAACATATTTAGTTCCTAGGAGCTAAAGTTGAATTTTAGTTCCTAGGAGCTAAAGTTGAACTCTAGCTCCTAGGAACTAAGAAGGATCTACTGGACGTCATCAAGAATCAACAACATTGTGATGGTTGGTTATTTGGGTTGAGACGCATACCTGATTTGTTTCCGATTTCAGCAGATTTGGCATTTCATACCCATGCTGGGGATATAAATACACCTTATTATAGTTTAGTATTGGAATTATGAACATCTCAGTTAAGTATTTTTGTTTTGATCAGGAAAGCCTTCAAGATTCAAATAATTGCTTGATCTGTATTCCATTCGTTATTCTCGGTATGGATAACTTGTTTTTGAATAATCACAGCAAGCAATAGTTTTTTCGTCTCAAACAACGATATTGTTTAGCTTCATTTGATTATCAAGTGAAACACAGTGTAGTATGGAGAGGAATAAATAATCACTATATTATCATTGTTGATATGCTCACTAACCTAACATTTTCAACGTCTTGTTGCTTTAACTGGCACTGGCGCGGTATTTGCCATTAGAGCACCTGGTCCATACACAAATATGTCACTGTGTGGTTGTATTTATATTGAAACTACAATTCGAACATCCTAGAAAACCTAACCTGCTGTTAATGCAGGTAGAATATCCTCACCACATGGATTATTTGTCAATATTTGTTGCATTGCATATACATATGGCACGGCATTGGTGCGATGGTTACTTCACATGTTTATTTGAGTTAACTGTTTCGGTTGCAGAAAAAATAGCATGTTCTATTCGGATCAGAAGTGACTTTGTTCGACTCGCAATCTTTGCTTTCGCTCGGCTTCGCTAAACGCTCCGCCTCGCAAATGCAAAATTCGCTTGTCAAACAAAGTGTCACTTTTGATCCTAATAAAACAATCTACTATTTTGCGTTAACGGGTTAGCTTCTCAAAGTTTCTGAATTGATTTTAATCCCCGTTTCCTGACGAAAGGAATTTATTTCCCATGTTGAGTATGTCGACAAATGTCAAATGTCACTAATGTCAGTGAAAAGTTCGTTTTCAATCATCATCATTCAATTTTATCACTAATGCATCGGAATTTATCAAATAGAACTCGATCCTGAAAGAGAATATCATTCAAACAATGGATCACTATCGGCTTCATTTGAAATGGTACCGGGTGACCAGTTATATGACCCATTTCAAATGCTTATATCTCTGAAACCATTCAAGTTATCGTTGTGCAGTTTGGACTAGTCTATTTTGATATTTTTCAAGTTTTTTTTGACAGGTTCACCTCCTCTCTTGAACTTCCGGTTTTACCGGAAACAAACTAGCCATTATTCAGGTATAGGGCAACTTTTTTATTTCATCGAAGCACCCTGTATATTTTTGCACATTCAGAAAGACTGGTCTTTTCTCTTCTTAACAATGTATAACAAATTATGTTTTCTTAGAAAACTATCAGAGTTATAACTGCTTGAAACAACTACTGCATGTGGAATGGTTGGTTTAATGAGATTTTGGAATGTAACCAAAGTCGTCTTTGGAAATCCTGATCACAACACATGAAATGCCAGATAAGATGTGTCAAATAAAGATTGTCGAGCATTTGTACTTTCCTCGAGTTGAAAAATGTTTACTTTGACTGAAAAAGCAAATGAACTCATTATAAATCTGCATCAGATTTATACTCAATATACGGTAATTCAGCATTTCAGGATAACACCTAATATGCAGTAGATGCTTCAAAGAGTTATAACTCTGATAGTTTTCTATCAGGCTCGACAATCTTTATTTGACACATCTAATCTGGCATTTCATGTGTTGTGATCAGGATTTCCAAAGACGACTTTGGTTACATTCCAAAATCTCATTAAACCATTCCACATGCAGTAGTTGTTTCAAGCAGTTATAACTCTGATAGTTTTCTAAGAAAACATAACTTGTTATACATTGTTAGAAAGAGAAAAGACCAGTCTTTTTGAATGTGCAAAAATATACAGGGTGATTCGATGAAATAAAAAAGTTGCCCAATACCTGAATAATGGCTAGTTTGTTTCCGGTAGAACCGGATGTTCAAGAGAGAAGATGAATCTGTCAAAAAAAAACTTGAAAATATCAAAATAGACTAGTCTAAACTGCACAACGATAACTTGAATGGTTTCAGAGATATAAGCATTTGAAATGGGTCAGAATATAACTGGTCACCCGGTACCTACTATCCTTCCTCATTTATTGTCATCAGTTCAGAACCGAATGAAGCCGATACCCATGTTACGGTCCTAGTTCGAGAAGATCGTTACTTTCAGGACTACTGGGCGATAGTTTGTAGTTCCCGGATGTATGATAAATTCGCGAGCCAAGTTTTCTTCATTGCAGGTGAAATATAGTCGATGGAAAAATGTTAACCAACTGGTATATTAGTAGAGGCGATTAATGATTTCGAAAATCAACGCGCTTGCTATGACGATAGTCATAATGAACAAATATGAAATTTCATCATCTTGAGACATCACAGAAACGAATCTGCTCCTGTTTCTATTCGGCAGAATTGAATTGATGGTCATAACATATTTTTGGACTATCAGAAAAACTGCAGCCAAAAATGAAAAATTACATTTCCAAGCTTCTCAAGCGACTTTCAAACACATTTTTTATATTTCAAATCGCTTACATCATTTGCACTGAGGAAGAAGGACATTGGCACCATAGCCCCCATTCCCAAAATGAAAAATGCCAAATGCAGAGAGTGGTATCTGTCCGCAGGAACATCCTTGATTGTTTCGTCTTGTTTCTGTGAGAACTTGCGATAAGATAGCAGCGATGCTGAAAAAAGTTTATTATGGCATCAAATCTTGTATAGAAGAAAATCGAAAATAGATATTTGAATAACCAGTTGAGAAACGCGTTATTTTATGCGTTTCCTAGCTAGTTACGTACAATATTTGTCTGATTTTCATGACAAATTTCACTTGAACAGAAATAATTACATGAGTTCCACACGAGGTTCTACCTCACTCGTGTGTTTGCATCACTCGCCCTTCAGGTTCGTGCCACAAACTTTCACACGCGTGAGAAAAGGTGAACTTTCCCCACTTGTTGAACAACATACTATTGTTGATTCAACTCTCATCTCATTGTTCAATCGATCATATACATCGTGTCTATTTGAAAAAAAAATTGATTGATTTTGACAAAGATTCAACGAAGGACAGCATCATATTTCATTGTTTCAACTATCATTCCATTGTTGAATCAATGATATGCTTTCCTTTCATTCGACAAAATTGAATTGATTCTGACAATATTATATTGTTGTGATTCAACATTAGTATTGAGAAATTTGTCATTTCGAACAGATTATTTTGTTGAACTGAACCAACATATGCATTATATCGAACAAAAATTCTGATGATTGATTATCTAGTTGCATTTTCGCCACTAGATGGCGTTCCTTTCGACCTTCCTACGCTCGCCTCGATTGGAGTGTACAAACAGCTACCAAGAACTTTCGTTTATTCGTATTATGAGCTTGCAAGCTAATAGTCTTGATCTCTATTCAACTGAGAAAATCAATCATTTTCTCTCCAGCTTTGAGATGATTCAGTACTTGGGGAAACCTGAATAATTACATCTTGTTTGTCAATTCTTAATATAATTCTGTTGTTCGAATGAAATCTGTCATTCAATGGTAACAATATTTTGTCAAATTCAGGATATTGTATTGTTATTTCAACATATTCACTTTCTGAATTACTGAAAATGTTGTCACTTGAATAAAATTACATGATTATTTTGTCATGGATATATGACACCCAGATTTTGTTGAATTCACAGAATTTTTGTTGATTCAAACAATAATTTCCGTATATTCATTTGAAGAAATAATGAGTCCTGTTCTAAATGTCACCCGTTAGCTATTATAGTAAATCGGTTACGTATTCTACTTCTATAATATTTCTCACCTGTTCTTTGTTCTACTTGTTGAATAATCTCTGCCATTTTTATGTACTCAACTGGATTAATACCAAGCGAAAAATAATCAAGAAGACCTTTAACACGATAATGATCAATGAATAATGCAAAATTTCAATTGAAATACTCTAGTACTAATCTTATCGTTATCGTGGAATCTTTGATTTCTGGTATAGCTATGAATCTGTATCAGAATCATGATCATTAATGCATAATCACATGTCCCTGGAATTATTATCCCAGATGAATTCCGATGGATATCTCAGAATTTAATTCCACATGGTCGGACTGTAAAACTTGAGGGCCCTGTGCTAATGGTGTGTTTACATAGAGTTCATTTCAGCTCACTGGGGGCCCTACGCACGCATTAATGAATATGGGTAATGAATAAAATTCAGCAGAATTGAATACTTGAACTCAATTATAGATAGATAGATATACAGAGTCGCTGATGTATGGAAACAGGTGAGTATCTTGGTAGCCTGTCGTTAGATTTCTTTGAATTAATACACAGTGTGTTTGCAAAACGTTGCGGATTTGAAAATATCATTATAGCCAATGTTGCCACTTTTTCAGTCATTCCGGATTTGTTTGTTACTTCCTCATTTTGAATGAAACACATCGGATTTTCAGATTCTCCTTTAGGAGCTGATTCCATCGATCTATCAAACTTTTGGTCTAGCAGAAATGATTACAGGTATAAAGTGTTTAAAATCTAGATTTTTCAACTCTAGGATTTTTTTGTGTCATGTGTTCTGTTATAGATCAAAATCGCTCTCATTTTCCTATCTTCACGTTTGATTTACTATCTACTGACATTTAATTGGAACAGATACAGAAGGTGATCAGAATTCTGAATCTTGAACCACCCTGTATTTGTTTCAATCAAATGTCAGTAGATAGTATATCGAATGTGAAGATAGGAACATTGAAGCGGCTTTGATCGATGAGGGATAGTTTCGACACAAAAAATCCTTGAGTTGAAGAATCTAGATTTTTTAAACGCCCTATACCAAATGTAATAAATCGATGGAATCAGCTCTCCAAGGAGAATCTGATAATCCAATGAAGTACAGGGTGTTCTATATATAACTTTTTCAAATCTGCCACGTTTTGAAATCACATAGTACATCAATTCAAAAAAATCCAACAGCAGGTTACCGAGATGTCCATCTGTTTCCATACATATCAGTAGGTTGAAAATATATCTATGAATATAAATATAATTACTAGTGAATGAAAGTCATTGAATATATTACACGAAGATATTGATATATAGACTGACAAGAAAAATATAATGACCTTGCATATAAAAAACAATTGTATTACATTCATATAATAATATGATATATAAAATTGCACATAGTGATATACACACCGAGTCATAGATTTTAAAAGCAGTATGAAAAAATGAAAGACGAAACATAATAGTAGATTGTTTTATTAGGATCAAAATTGACACTTAGTTTGACAAGCGAATTTTGCATTTGCGAGGCGGAGCGTTAAGTGAAGCCAAGCGAAAGCAAAATTTGCGAGTCGAACTAAGCCACTTTTGATCCGAATTAAACATGCTATTTCATCTGCAACCGAAACAATTAACTCAAATAAACATGTGAAGTAACCACCAATGCCGTGCCATATGTATGCAATGCAACAAAAATTGACAAATAATCCATGTGGTAAGAATATTCTACCTGCATTAACAGCAGGTTAGGTTTTCAAGGATGTTCGAATTGTAGTTCCAATATAAATACAACCACAGAGTAACATATTTGTGTATGGACCAGGTGCTCTAATGGCAAATACCGCGCCAGTGCCAGCTATAGGAACAAGACGTGGAAACTGTTAGGTTGGTGAGCATATCAACAATGATGATAGTAATTATCTATTTATCTTCATACCACACTGTGTTTGACTTGATAATCAAATGAAGCTGAACAATATCGTTGTTTGAGACAAAAAACTATTGCTTGCCGTGATTATTCAAAAACAAGTTATCCATCCCGAGAATAACGAATGAAATACAGATCAAGCAAGTATTTGAATCTTGAAGACTTCCCTGATCAAACAAAATTACTTTGCTGAGATGTTTATACATATAGATATATATACCAAACTATAATAAGGTGTATTTATATCTCCAGCATGGGTATGAAATGCCAAATATGCCGAAAACGGAAATAGATCAGGTATGCGTCTCAACCCAAATAACCAACCGTCACAATGTTGTTTATTCTTGATGACGTCCAGTACATCCTACTTCAGCTCCTAGGATCTAAAATTCAACTTTAGCTCCTAGGAACTAAATATGTTGCCTAGCAACATACCCATTTTTGTGTCAGTAATAGAAACGTAAATTTAAGAGCTAATTTTGGTATCAAAATGGACGACTTTTGTGTCGATTGCAAAAAAAAATGTTTTTGTCAGATTCATCGCAAAGGCTGCATTACAAAAATTCAGATTCTCCTTTCGTGCGAAAAGCTAATTTACACCTCAACAGCTTCTCATGATCCTGTTCTAGAATACTGTTCCCACATATGGGGTTCAGCACCAAAACATACGCTGATGTTCTTAGATTCCATCCAGAGAAGAGCCATTCGCCTGGTGGTTGACGCCACACTCACTCTTTGACATCATCGGAACACCGTGTAAAGGTCGGCGACCTTCCACTTTTTCATCGATAATTCCACGGGAAATGTTCTTCGGAAATCTCTGCTATCATCCCTTCACTAGCAATACCAGTCAGACGAAATAGACAATCCTAGTCAGCACATTCTTTCGTTGTCAACCTCGAGAGATGTCGAGCAGCACTTTATCAAAACTCCCTCATCTATAGAACGGCTAGGCTCTGGAATTTATTGCCTGAGGAAGTATTCCGAACAACATATAATCTCCAGAAGTTCAAAAAAGTTCCAATACCTACCTCCTGTACCTATCCTCCCTAGGAACGCACGATGTTCTTTGAACATTATTGGGATTTCCTTTCGTGCGCTCCAAGCGATAAAAAAAATGTCGACATGATATTCATGCAAGCTATAGTATGCTTTTTCAAGGAGCATATTTTTGAGAGATCTTCTGAATTGCATATTCTTTTTCCTTCATACATATTGGTGTGTTTTTGTTAATTCAGTTAAAGTAGTGGCAGGTGAATATTACAGCTCTGTCTTGTATTGTAAGATCTATCTTTACGAGACTCAGTAGCATATTTTTTGTGAATCAGGCATACCACTTCCGGAATGGAGATGCTCACTACAGTTAAAATTCTTTGTTGAACAAATAGTTGTCTACAGCTCTCTCTGTAGTTAGCTCTACACACATATCTGAGAGATCTTTGCTGTAGTACAAGTACCTACCTGTTAGGAGTTTTTGGTTACAAAATTCCCAAAATGCAATGCCATATCTTAGATGGGACTTCATACACAGAGATGTGATATGTTCATTGAATTTCAGCTTATTGTCAATTTGCATTCCAAGAAACCTAGTATGGAGTGTTTCCCCAATAATGATACCATCAAGAAGCAAGTTATCATATAGCTGAATCTGAAGTTAACAATTTTGGTTTCATCCACATTGAGAAAGTGATAGTTTGAATCAAACCATAACTCGGCTACGCCTCGTTAAAAAAATCAGATCTCGACCACCAAAGTAGCATTTCGCGCTCTATATACAAATAGATATTGTCCTAACAAGTGCACAAAGTGTTACTTCTCCGCACGCAAATACAGTTAGGCGAACGACGCGGAGTGGAGTTCGAATAAGTTTTTGCGTGCGGAAAAGACACTTTGCGCACGTGTTAGGAACAACCTTTTTTTCCTAGCTCCATATCAGATGAAGAGGAAAAAAAAATATATAACTCATTGAAAAATGTAACTATACAACAATTATATATAACAATAAAATATAATAATATGCAATCACAATTTCCCTACGAGCTTCATTTCATCAGATAACAACGAGAATAAAGCAATTTAAACTTACAATTTATTGAATAATTCCTAGTTGAACTTGATAACAATAGCTAAACAACGAACAATTACATATCAATAAAATATAATGATTGAAAATTGAATCATTTGTTCCTAATGTTTAATTCGAGGTGAAAAACAAACATCGGGAAGAACGGTTGAAAAGTAAATGGGATAACGGCTTCGCATAGTGCATACAATAGTCTACAGCAACACACGCCGCACGCCGTGCGGATTACACCCATAACCGCACTGAGTGTGGAAAAGTGTCACTTTGCGCACGCAAATGAGTGTGAAAAAGTACAAGTTTGCGATAGCCCGTAGGACAAATACCTATTTCATTCTTCATAAATGATTATATGGACAAAAACACTTGTATGAAAAACTTTGTACCTTACTCTTGCGGAAAATGTCTTTTCCGCCCTTGACCACTTGCCCGAACTCTGCACCGCGTCGTTCGTGCAACTGCCGTCGCGTGCGGAAATGTACTACTTTCCGCACTTGTTAGGTAAATAAAAGACTGGAAAATATATGATACTTTCGGAAATACAATTGACTATTCTGAAATACCATTGACTCTTCCTGAAATACAAATAACTATTATGGAATACCAATTATTCATAGTGTAGCCCCAATAAAATTGTCACTACATAGAAATGCCTCTGGTGATTTGAATATCATATCGAACTTGAAATTATTGTGATTTGGTTGTTTGCAATAAATATTTGGATTATCTGATTGTTCATGAATTCAATCAAAACTGCTGATCAGTTCAATCACATCGAGCAAGTGCGGTATCAGTAATTTAGTGAAAAAAATTATCACCAATACAGAGTGTTACGAAATCGGTGATAAGAACATGGGGTCGTCAAGTGGTTACAGGGTATTGAAATTGAAAAATTTAGATAGTTCTCATAGAATAACTCGAAAATGACTTTCAGTATACGGGATATATCTTCAGGAATTAACGCGATCTATACAGGTTGCTTGGAAAGGTATTCTCGTAAATGATGGGGCTGATAGAGTAAACCAAAATAAAGTCAGTACTTGATTTAAAGAAGTTCGAATGCAAAAATAGATATTTCATTAATAACTCTCAAACAGTTGCCACGATATCAATGATATTT